TATAGGAAATCAATAATTCGTTTTGGTTTCATCTTTCTACAGGAGACGGCGTTATGTTATTTTGTTGTTGTTTTCTTTCGATTTTATTATCTCTAACTTTAATAATATAATTTTAACTCCCTTTGTTTAATGTTGAGTAAGTTTCTTTCATAATTATCAATTGCAGACATTCAGTCTTGTATAGCATAGTCCGATTAAGGGGACGGCAGCCTGCTTGGTTATTTCTTATTGGAGCCCCAAGGCGGCCTCTGGATAGTAGGGACCTTTTCAATTTTTGAATATATATTGCCCTAAGTAAGCCGTGATAGCTCAGTGACGGCTTTAATTCAATATACTCGAGCAACCTGAGTTCAATTTCCGGTGCAGGTACCTGAATTGACTAATGCATTGTTAATGACACTTAAGTGCTGACTTATCTAACAAAAAAAACTGTATATTTCCAGAATTATAACTAAAAAAAAATTATTATCAATTTGCATTTGATGCCTAAGTATGTAGAACTAAAAATAAATTTTATCTTTTAAATATCCCTTATTACTCTGTTATGCCGTATCGAGATACTTGTAATAATATATATGAAGATACTAACTTAATTTTCTACTGTAATTTTCTGTAATGCACCGCTTCCCTCCTGTATGAGGATACCAATCGGGAACAAGGTCCTAGAGGATAGATAATTATTACATAAGAGGCTGATCATAAAAAACGTAGCCAAAATGATTTTTAACTTGTTGCGTATACTGTCTCGACCCCGAATAGATGGTACAGGGGCACAGGATATCATTTATTCTAGGACACCGTCCAGCCTTTAATAACAACATTTGAGAGTGTTTAATAACTGTTTTTTTTTTTACCAGATTAAGTCTCTTAACTAATATTTTAAGGACAAATTTAAATTCAATTTCAAATTCAAATATCTTTATTCTTTATTGATCTAATATTTACAAGATTAAATCTATCTAAAATTACATATTATCTAATAAACCTAATCCACACGGCATGGAGCCAAGAACGCTAGCTGCATTTCCTCGCTGAATAGTTATGCTTAACCTTTGAGTCAGAAAAGAAGCTCTCTTGTCAACAGCCGCGGCGTTAAGCCTAGGATATAAACTTTTAAAAAATGTTGATGTGCGCGGACCCCACGGACCTAATATATCTTTATTCAAATAGACGCTTACGCGTTCTTATCAACCGTCGAGGTTAACATAAATAATCTATACAGATAAATGAAATTGGAGTTTCAAAATAAAATAACCGCTTTTTATTAAAGGCATATGCATGTATACACGGTACATATATCAAAATATTTTTTTTTACAATTTTTGTCTGTCTGTCTGTCTGTTTGTTCCGGCTTATCTCTGAAACGGCTGGACCGATTTGGACGGGACTTTCACTGGCAGATAGCTGATGTAATAGGGAGTAACTTAAGCTACTTTTATTTCAGATTTTTTTTATTTTAAATTCCACGCGGACGAAGTCGCGGGCACAGCTAGTTAATACATAAGTTCGTAAGTAAGTTACCACCGGTTCGGAAGGCAGTTTCTGATGAGAAGAGACCGGCAAGAAACTCAAGAATTGCTTGCTTATTTAAATAGATCAGATTACAATATAAAATTTATATAATAATATTATAATTTTAGCCCGTAGGCTATCACGTATGATTATCAACAGTATTAACTCTACACATTTTATATTATGCTTTAGCCATAAGTTTACTTTTAATTATTTACGTTTAAATTGGTCAAGTGGCAGACTTAATATGGCCTGTGGGATTTTTTTATTATATACAAACTGTGCCCGCGAATTCCTTCGCATGGAATTATATATAAGTATATAAGAATAAACAAAATTTCTTAAATAAAAGAAACCTAAGATACTCGTTATTACATCAGCTATCTGCCAGTGATAGTCCCGTCAAAATTGATCTAGCCGTTTCAGAGATTAACCGGAACAAACAGACAGACGGACAGAGAAAACTTTTAAAAATTGTTATTTTGGTATAAGTACCGTGTATACCTACATGCATATGCATTTAGTAAAAAGCAGTTATTTAAATATTAGAAATAGACTCCCCAATTTCATTTATCTGTAGTTGGTATAGATGCGCACACTTTTATTTATCTATTTTTTAAAAGTCAACTGAGTTATATGCAGTTATAGATTAGGGTAACGTCTTGAGATAAGGTTTGACGGTAAATTAGCAACAAGCGAGTGTCCGCTGCGTACATTGCCTGTTTTGCCAGGACTTTATATCCCAGAGAGTCCAGCAATTTATGTGGCAAAATTGAGCCGTCCCAACCTTTTGGCCTAGGTAACCAATAAGTAACTATACGTCTTCGATTACTTATTAGTTTCCGTGTGGATAAATCAAACTCTGTATTCATCACCTAATTACTAAAATAACAATACTGGCCAGCACGAATGACCCTTCGACGAACATATTTTTAAAATTTTTCCTTTCGTCGGGCAAAATATTTAGACTCAAACTACCTTCTAAGATCTGTTTTCATCAGGAGTTTTAAGGAATTTCCAGAACGTGATTTAAAGAAAATTGTCTATTCCCAAACTAAACAATGCGTAGTAAATTTATTTCTATTTATTAAGGCTTACCAAGTAAATACAGAACATTGACATGCAAACAAGTTTAAGTAAATAGTTTGTAATAATATATGTACGTACATATTTAAATTACAGGTAAACACAATACTTATGATAGATATATATAAACACAATACAATGAATAGAGAACAGAAACTTAACTAAAAATTATCTTTTATTTCTGAAAAAAAAAATAAAGAAAATAAGAAAATTGGCTAAATTTGGAATAATAACCGATAAATGTATAATTATGTATACTATCGGTCTAATCAGACGATGTCGTGCCAGCTGGTATTGTTTTTTATTTATTTTTTCATTCGAAGTTTCGATAAACTACTAGTAGTACCTGGAGGTTTTTTTTTTTTTTTTTTGTAAATCGTATATTTTAGAAATTACATCTAGATACAAATTACTGAGTAATGAAATATGCATAATATTTTTCGATCTCACCGACGTAATAATAATAAAATATGAACAGGTGTTATACCGAGCTATTATAAAAATTTTTTTTCGGCGAAATTTATTTTTTAGATATGACGATATTCAAATGATATTTTCATCCCCTGAAAACAGGGATACATGGACGTTTTCTACAAATGAAACCTAGCTCGATCGATTTTTAACCCATAAATCTACTACTAACTACTAATATATCTAACTACTAATAATAAATCTACTACTACACATACTAAATTTCATGTAAATCGCTGGAGCCGTTTCCGAGATTCCGTTCACGCAAACGACCGTGACCTACTGGTTGTGACAACGCATCGGAAAAGTGATTGGAAATATATATATATATATATATATATATATATATATATATATATATATATATATATATAATCCTTCTGTACGTATTTCATTGACCGATTGTATTCACAATTCACAATTATTAACTTATGAGCTGTTGTCGGGTTTAAGTCGTGGGTACAAGACAACGTCTGTTGGGTCCGCTAGTATATAAATTAACATTATGCTTACTGTAGGATAACTTTTGTGTTGTAAGGAAGCTTTACATACATAAATTTCATATAGATAAACACCCAGAACCGAAAAAATGATCTGTGCGTCACACAAGTAGTTGTCCCGTGTGGGTATCGAACCCACGACCACCGGAAATCATAACTTGGCAACTGTGCCATGGAGCGATCACGGAGTCATTTGACATTTGCTATTTTAGCGTTTAACTTTGGTCGTACTTCCGAGGAATATTAATGTTTCGGATAATTTACTCCGTTCCACACCAGTAGCTTAATGAATGCAACTTGTGTGTTTGTCAAGTGTCGTAACGTGTTATGTCATATCCGCCTCAAGCAATATACAGTGCCCGCTTTCACCTTCGAAAGGATAATTTAATTTATACTTATGGCAATTTATTTAATTAAATTGATACCTTGGCCAGTACGCATTAATAATATCAACATATAAAAATGTATTGAACAATTTAATATGTTTACAATTTAATGACTCCGTAAATTAGATTATTTGTAAATTTTATCATTTTCAAAAAGAAACACATTATTTCCTTTATTTAGCTATTATAATATTGTGTATGTACCTAATAAAACGAAAGTTATAAATAAATAATATTAAAAATTGTGCTTCATACATGTAGTTTTCCTATCCTAGAATGATACCTACGGCCCATTGCTAAAGCTGTCCTTATTTACTCTATATTTTTTACAACTACAGAGGCAGGCAGTTAATTTAGCAGCAGCCTTAGAAACCAGCGCCAGTAGAAATATCCACATTTATGTTTTTTCTGGGGAATGGTTTAATTGAATGGAGGCTGGCCCATCTTAATAGATTGCCAACTAACCTGAAGTTGCAAATCTCAATGCCATAATCAGTTATCATCAAAATAACCATACCATTACTGAGTTTAAGGAGTTCATTCGTTTATCATTCTTCCTGTTTGTCTTGGTCATTATCTCAATTCATTTGGGGTCCGCCCACCTAGTCTTACCAGGTGCTCAGCGGCAAAGAAAAATATTGTGAGGAAACCTGCATATTTTCGGAATAATAACAAAAGAAAACGTGTCGAAGATATGTGAAATCTGCCAATCCGCAGTGTGGTCGCGTGTTGGACTATGCCCTGATACCCTCTGTACAGAAGACGCCTTTGCCGAGCAGTGGGACATGTATGTCTTACTGTGGTAGGGCCACGCAACAGTGTTCGCTGTTGCACAAAAGGGCAGGTCTGTCGGGGTAAGTACCACGACCTCACAGAAGACCGACGTAAAGTGTTACACTTCTGTGTTTCATCTGATGCGTGAGTTAGCCGGCGCCCAATTCATTCAAAGTTGCAAAAAAGGGTGTTGCAAATGGCCATGGGTTATCACTTAACATCAGGTGAACCGGCAGCAAGTTTGCCACTTTCTCAAATTAGCTTTACGTTATTTCACCGCCCTCCTAGTACTTCTGCGCCACGCGGTCATTGCTGCCGCGTACCGTCATTAGCATTACGTAATTAAGTTGAGGTGTTTCGTCGAATCGTCAACCACTCGCGTCTTACCTTCACCGGCTTCGTGGCGTAGAGGGAGGTGCGGCCCGCCGCGGTGCGTTCGCAGTCGCGAGGTCGTCGCCGGGCCAGAACATCCAGTGGTGTCGTGCAAGTGCCTGTTTTCGGTGACAACGGTAGGTCGCTTCCGTTTTATAGTGACGTCACAGCGGTACCGGGCAGGTCTCTTCCGTTTTCCAGTGACGTCACGGTGGTACCGCGACGCAATTTCGCAACTGGTCATAGTAGACAGTTCAGTGGATTAGTGCTCCCAAGTTCGCGTATTCATTACGGTAAATGTTATTTCGAATTGCCGCAACTAGTTACGAATGTTACGCCGTGGTGCCACAGTGAATTTGTGTGATCTTTCATTCTGTCTATCGAGATTTGGTCTTTGATGAGACACAAATAATTTATAATCGGCACGTTTTGTAGTGTTTTTTTTTTGTGAATTCGGAAACCTTCGACGTCATATCTTTGACAAATTTCCAAAGGTTCGTCGCTATCGAACGAATGGTATAGGAAGGTATACTTGACAAACGAAGAAATAATTTTTTTGATTGACATTATTAAAAAAAATATTTTAATATTAGTTTACTAACCCCCAATATTTGCAACATTAAATCTAAATAAATTACATATTATTAATGAACCTAGTTCACGCGGCATGACGCCAAGAACGCTAGCTAACTTATATAGGATTAGTTCAATGACTTATGTACCACCTAAATAAACTTGAGATCTATTGAGTCAAACAAAGGTCGACACCGAAGGAGTATCCCTTGTCAAACCTATGTCCTAAGCTATAGGATTAATATAAGCTTCATTATTAGTTATGCAAATCTACGTTATATAATATATGACGAGGGAAATAAATTTAATAGAGAGGAACATAAAACTTCACTGATATTGTACAATGTAGTATAATTAAACAGCCTTTTTTATTGCGCGGTTAAATATTTTAATAATTTTAAATAATCTAAAAGACCTTTTGTCTTTTAATATTATAATTATTACGTAAAATCTTGCGTCGTGGCGGTATGTGGGGGAGGGCTATGTTCAGCAGTGGACTCTAATAGGATGAAAGTTAATATGCGCAAATGAGCTGTAGTTTTGGGTTTTAATCTAAATGGCAATCACTATAAATGTTTAGTTCTCTAGATTACTTATGTGCAAAAATCATTGTTGCATAGTTACAGTCGATATTCGGCGACACATCACGGCTAGGAAAAGTGGATAGCATGAAGTATCGTTATGATCAACATAATTCTCACAAAAACTTTCATACATGGAGTAGCGGACAGTGCCTATCTAGCGCGCCAGAACGTGCGGATTCGATTCACACTACATGGAAACGTATTGTGTGATGAACAGTGTTTTTTCTATTATCTGGGTGTTTATATATCTATTACATGTATTTATTTACAACAGAAAACTACGTTTATGAATGTTTATTTGTTACTTAGTAAGTGATAAACATTCATATACGTTCAGACATACATAAAACAAACTGTGTCTACGTTAACTAGTCTGTGACTAGATAACGTTGTTTAAAAATATGTTTCGAAATAAATGTTTGTTTTATTTCAAACACTCGGTTTTAAATTGAACGATTATCTAAATCAGAAGAATCAAAGATACATAAGAACTGATCACTAAACAAATAATTAACTAACTAGCTTAACGTTAATCACTAAGTTAATGTTAATGACATTGTTAGGATTTCGATGTTAATTTGTGTTTACGTTGAAATTTTAATAATCGCTCCTGCAATGCCACAAAATTGGACGACGTTAAATTAAGCACACGTTTCCGCGGTGTTAACTAACGCATTCATTGTCACTGCAAAATGCATTAATGCTGCGAACATAAGTCCCCGCTTACTGCATTTATCCTGCAGAGCCAGAATTCAAGCAAACTATAACACTTCCTCTCGAGAGGCGCGGTTTTAAGATTTTAATATTTCTATATAATGGCTTAACTGGAAGATGAATAAATATGTCAGGCATTAGGGCGCAAAAATGCACAGATAAACAGACAAAATTTTTTTTATTGTTTTGGTTTTTTTTAATGTGAAAAGTTGCCATATGAGCAGACGGTTCACCTGATGTTATTTGAATACCGGCGGTATTGCCCATGGACATCTGCTACAACCGAGGGTTGCAGATGCGTTGACAACTTTTTGAAAATTGAGCTCCGGCCACCTCACTCACAGACGAAACGCGAAAGCATTCTACTTCCACTTTACGCCGGTCTTCTGTGAGGTCGTGGTACTTACCCGGACGAGCCTGCCCATTCGTGCTACAGCCGAGGCTGCTGCGTGGCCCTACCACCGTAAAAAGGGTTCTGCTGCGTTAATAAATGTCCCCAATGTAATAATAGTTTTTTTTTTTTTTCAAATATCTTCCATGTACAGACAACGGTCAGTTACATTTTTATGATATGTATAAATATATAGATATATAAAGATCCTTGCACCAGAAAAATATAATGATTGTGACATATTATTTGTCCATTAGTGGGATGAAATCCCAATCTATCTATAGGACTATCATTTGCTCATCATACAAATACTTGTACTGGGAGGAATCAAATGTATTACTCGCAGCGCCAAAGCTCATATAAAATAATGAAACTAATAACTTTTGTCTCATTACTCTATAATCCGGAAATCCCGAAACTCATATCATAGGCAATAGGCTCCCATATTATTGTAAACGCTAAATTAATGAGTAATGGCAATACAGTGGGTTGAATGTATCGTGTTGCTATAACTTTATACATTTCTTACCTTCTTTAAAATATTACTGCTGGGCACACAGGTCTCCTTAATACAGACGGTACGCTCCACCGCGCGGTTCAAATATTGGCAGACTTCTAGTATCTTCTTATTTAATATTATTTCGGAGACATGCACAGGTAAAACGTTTGTGTTAATTTACTACTAGCGCCACCTATGTATTACGTAAGAAACTAAACATTATACGCCATTCCATTTTTACCTACACATATCAGCACTTGATAAGCCAGTGCTTATCCACACTGGAATAAGAACTCGGGTCGATTTTACTCGAACTATTAAAAGCCCGCGTCCGAACTTTGAGCCATCAAGGCTGTGACTGTATCGACTAAGAGTGTTGATCTCATAAATTCTAACACGTTAAATAAAATGTTACATACCATTCATTTCTAAACAACAATGTACCGAGTAAACTCAATTTCGCTACGCTTACAATCGGCGAATATAAATTAACGACGGCACGCAACGAGAAATAATTCTCTCGAAACAATCATAGTTGGAAAGTACACATCTGCTACGTATTGTTCAACGAACAACTTCGAACTTGCGACCTTCTCATTTCGCGACGAGACTGCGCCTGAATCTTGAGGTCTGACAAACACCGGGCCAAGTGCGAGTCGGAATCGCCCACGAAGGGTTCCGTACCATTATATATATAAATGGGAAAAAAATCATGTCTGTTGTATGGCAGCCCCGCTTAAATATTTTTTTTATTATATTTTTCAGTATTTGTAGTTATAGCGGCAACAGAAATACATCATCTGTGAAAATTTTAACTGTATAACTATCACGGTTCATGAGATACAGCCTGGTGCCTTTGGGCACGGAACCCTAATAAACAGCACAACACTTTCCCATCGTCCCCTGTGAAAACATCGCGAATTAACATCGCGATGTCATCACTAAGGCGCCCCTAAACGGTTCAACTGTTTGTCAAACGTAACGGGTTTGTCAAATAACTAGGTTTATGGCATCGTCAGTATTGGAAGAAAACAGCGGAGAGACTAAAGCAATATTTGCCAAACACGTTTGAAACAATTCGTTTGTAGTTGAACGCGTTTAAGTCAAACCTTACATGTCTCAAACAAACTCGAACGTTAACGGAGCCCTTAAGAAAACTTGGTCCGTGTTCAAAACTTACAACTACACAGCTGCTGTGTATAATTAAATGTTACAATTTAGTACGGTATGTGTATGTGAAGATTCCTCTAAATAATTTACATATTAAGCCTGTAGCCCGAGCTTGTAGGCAGAGGATAATTCCTGTTATTCTAACGCAGTGGTGTCGACTTCTACCTGAGGGAAAGGGTCTTCAGGCAAAAAATTTACCTTTGTTTTTGGACGCCGATGGTTCAATGCCTGGATGTCCTCGGTTCTAATTCAATATACTCGGACAACCCGAGTTCGAATTCCGGTGCCGGCACCAACGAACTTGTTAATTTATAATGCTTATTTACCACGTGCTTAGCTGTAAAGGAAAAAAACATCATGATTAAACCTGCATATTTTCAAAAATATATTCATAGATATATTTTCAAAGATAGAAAGAAAAAGAGCCGTGATAGCTCAATGTCCGGGCGCTCGCCTTTAATTCAATATACTCGAGCAACCTGAGTTAGATCCCCGGTGCCGGCACCAATGAAGTTTTTAACTTGTAAGTGCTGACTTATCAGGTGCTCCGCGGTGAAGGAAAACATCGTGAGGAAACCTGCATATTTTCGAAATATTTCGAAGATATCTGAAGTCCGCAAATCCGCAGTGGGACCGCGTGGTGGACTATGCCCTGATACCCTCTGTATAGAGGAGGCCTTTGCCCAGCAGTGGGACATGTATAGGCTGTTACTTTACTTTATTTTCAAAGTAAAAAAAAAATCAAACATATTAAAGTCTACCGATCCGTAGTCGGGGCACGTGGTGGACTATGGCCAAATACCTTCTGTACACAGGAGGTATTGGATAAAGAAGCTATTGATATATATGGAGGATTGCCCTACAGTGAGACGTATTGATATATAAGCTGTTATTTTAATTTTCTTTTTAAACGCCCAAATAATTTACATTTCTGAAAAGACTGCAGTATTTTGAGATCATACTGTAACTAACTTCTTTATTGTACATACGTTACTGAGACACTGCGATTGAGAAATGGTTAAGTTATAAGAAAGTTAAGATCTTGACCGTCACGAAAATCAGGCCTCTTTTCTATAGTAGAGTGTGTTTGTGCGCTTACAAGTGTAAAAACTATACGTATAACGTATTGATTATGTGTTATGCACTAAGCTTGTGGTTATTTTTTTTAATTATACCGGCCGGCACCAATGAAACAGTTATGTCAATATTTTCGAAACAATATGTTTATTTTTATAAATTTAAAAAATTTGTAATTAGTAGTTTTTGTTAGAACTGAGCGGTAAATGCTTCTTAATTATAACGTAACAATCCGT